GGCATGGTTCATGCCGAATTCCAAAGCAACCCTCCTGCGAAGGCCATGGACACAGGGTCCATGTAGTGCTGTACCCCTCAAGGATTCAAACTTATTGAAAAGTAAATAAATAATTGGCTACATACTCACACAATCCCAATTTCTAGGGATAGATTTGTAAAAAAAAAAAAAAAGAGAGAGAGAGAGAGAGATATTCATTGAATGCTCGACACTGCACTAGTCATGGAGTATAAACAGAGGAAAACACATATGTAATCCCTGCCCCCTTGGATCTTTCTGTTCAATCAACCAACAATGTTTATTAAACGTCTATTATGTCCAAGGCACTGCAGTAGGTTGAAAACTGAAACCTACACTCACACAACTTATATCTATAGTAACACGACTGTTCCATTCTCTTCATGGGCATAACTATTATTGCAAGACTTTTACATTTAAGATGAATGTTGAAAATTGATGTTATTGTTTATTCCAGGAACTTCCTGAATAGACAGCATCAACTGACAGTTTGCACTGTTAGACTGAATCCCTCACCTCAAAATCTTCATTTTTTTGGTGTTCATCTTAATGATTACACTATCACTCTGAAGCAGCCCCAAACAACCCTTTGAAGACCCCCAGCCTTTGCATATGCCCAGATCTTTGCAAATCTCCAGCCCGCATTACCTGTAAAACAGTCAGAGTGTTAAGGGATAAGTAATAAACTTGGTCTTGTCAACGGGTTGTTCTAGTGCTACTCAGAGAGCCAACATTTGACAAGGTTCTGGGGCTATCGTAATGAATAACGTCATCATAAAGTTTACATTCTAGAGACAGACAATGAGCACACAAACCAATAAATATGTAATTTTATATTTTACAATGTGGATGGATAGATAGTAGTCAAATCGGTCATTATAAATTGTGATAAGTAAGAAAGAAAGGGCACCAGAATAGAGAATGAGGGAGTTAAGATCCTAATTAGAAAAGATGATCTGAAAAATTCTCAAAAGTGGCTTCAGCCAGGGGTGGAGGTGGTCTGATTGCTCAGGTTCCTGAGACCCTGAAGCAGGAAAGCAGTTCAGCAGGTTCCAGAACAGAAAGGGAACCAGCAAGAGAGGAGTGTAGAGGGGAGAGGGGAGAGGGCAGGACTGAGCAGGGGCAGGACTGAGCAGGGGCACCGGGCACGAGGCTCCCACATTATGCAGAACCACTGCTTACCCTATTGTTTAATCATCTCTCTTGCACCAGAATTGTTTGTTTGTTTGTTTGTTTATTTCAGAGAGGAAGGGAAAGGGAGAGAGGGATAGAAACATCAATGGTGAGAGAGAATCATTATTGGCTGCCTCCTGCATGTCCCCTACTGGGGATCAAGCCCACAACTGGGGCATGTGCCCTGACCGGGAATCGAACCGTGACCTCCTGGTTCCTAGGTAAGCACTCAACTACCGAGCCATACCAGCTGGGCCAGTGTTTTTAATACTTCTCACTGCAAATGTGCAGAAGTGAACAGTACAGGTTAAATGAACTTGTGAGGGCCTTACTGATCACAACAGTGTTTCCATAGCAAAAAGGGTCCATCTCTTACTAAATCCCTTTACGGAGCTCTTGTGCTCCACGTCGAGCTCCGGCGAGCCCTGTTACTAGCTCGTGGCCCTTGTGTTTCCAGATGTGCCGTTGGAGAACACCTACTGGGGGTGGGGGTGGGGGTGGGGGTGGGGGTGGTGGGGGTGGTGAGGGGGGATCTGGCATCTTTAGAGAAGTTTGCTCAACCTAGTTGCAGGACACTCAGGTTGAAATCAACTACCAATTGATTTATTGGAAGAAGTGAAAACAGGACCCATGTTAATGATGTTCTCAGGCTCTTTCCTTGTTACTTGCAGGAAAGTACTTTAGGTGCCGCTGATACAATCCCAGTGTGCTTTGGTCCTCACCATGTTGACTGAGGGAATTGAAAGGGTTCACCGGAGAACACAAGGCTTGAGTCTTACAAAAATCTAACAAATGTCAAAGGGAAACTCATTCTGGAAGCCTGAGCCTTGTAAAAACATGTTCCCCTTGAGCGAATATCTTACAGGAACTTCTGAGACCACAACTCTTGCACCGACCAGATACGTGCTCAGCAGAAGCCGCCAGCAGCCCAGTCCAGATACTGCGTCAACAGAAGCCGCCTGACGCACAGCCCAGATACGTACGTCAACAGAAGCCGCCTGCAGCACGGCCCACATACAAATGTCAGCTGAAGCCTGCAGCTTTTCCCGGGCCCATAAAAAGCTTTCTCCTCCCCCCCAGGCTCCTTTCTCAGAAGCCGCCTGACTCAGTCCACCTGCATCCAGGTGCCTTGAATAAATATCATTTTGATTACACTGAGCCTTGAGTCGGTTCTGTGCAACCCTGGCCCAACCCGGAACCTTTGAGGAATAAAAATGTAACTGGACAATCAATGGGTCCGGGCTGCTGTCACTACTTGAGCCAATTCAGCAGAGACAGGGCTGAACCTGTATGAGCGTTTATCCCAATACTACCGGTAGTGTGGGAGAGCAGCAGGTCATCCACGAAAATCTGCTCTTCCTCCCACCCCCCACCATGAGCCAGCTGCTTATATTGGGTAGAAGGACGAAGATTACCTGGGGAAGTGGGCAAAAGAAAGTGCCAAATGGGCAGTTTTACAGGTAATGCGGGCTGGAGATTTGCAAAGGCCTGGGCATATGCAAAGGCGGGGGGTCTTCAAAGGGCTGGCAGCTCTGGTTTCTGCAACAAAGTTGTTAATCTTTCCATGAAAATAGGCAGCTCCTGGGTGAGGAGGGAATGGGGAGGATGGGCCGCATTTCCAGGTGAGCTCCCAGGTCCCACGTGCAACTCCCAGCCAGGTTAGAATGTGCCGTCTTTAATCAGAACAAAACAATCACGGCTAACAGAGCATGACTAATATTTCTTACTATGATAGCTGGTCCCCAATATTCTATTTCTGCCCCTGTCAATAAGACCAGCCACACACTGCCTGGTCACCTCGGTCTGGGAGCCCTAAATGAACCATCCGCTTGGGCAGGAATTGCAGGGGTCTCGAGGCATGACGATCCGGACAGGGACCTGCGTGGAGTTTCTGCTCATTTCAGCCTCCACTCCCTCTGGCCATCCGCCTGGAGAGCCATTGGCTACACACTCACACAAACATCACCCCTGCTTTTACACGCCCGGCCCGGGCTGTGTGTGTGTGCCTTTTCCCGGGGACTCGCTCTATGGGCTCTGAGTTGAATCACCCAGAGTCCAGCTTCCTGTCCTCCTCCCGGCCCTGGGCGGTTTCTCTTGCCCCTCCTTCTGCAGCCCGGCACCCCCACCCCCAATCCCAGAGGTCCAGGATTGGAGGGGGCAGTGAAGCAGTCACTTCTTCCTATAACATTTCTAGGGAGGCAAGCAGCCCTGTAATCCCTCGGATTGGAGCCGAGATGTCCTTCGTTTCTACCACTCATTTACGGCCTTTGAAGTCTATCCTTGGGCTCAACAGGCCTTCCAGCTGGGCGATCAGGAATGTAAACAAGGCTGCAGTAACTAAAGGAAAAAATGCCACTTTAAAACCTTCAGCGGCTGAAGTTGCCCCTGCCAGATATTCCCCTCCTCTTTTCCAGCCTTCATCAAAGTTACCGAAAGCAAATGAAAACAATCTTGTGCCTTCTCTAGAAAAATCGGTCATTTGGATTACGTGTATGGTCTTTATGTGATATGTGTTTGTCTGTGTATGATATGTGGTGTGTTTTTTGCCTCTAGATGGCATCACTAGGGTGTTCCTCACCTGAGGACATTTTCATTGATATTTTGAGAGAAGGAAAGAGAGAGAGAGAGAGAAACATCATTGATTGATCGGTTGCATGCCTCCACTGGGGCTGGGGATCAAACCCCCAACCTAAGTATGTGTCCTTACTGGGAATCAAACCCATGACCTTTGGGATGACTCTACTACTAACTGGGCCACACCGGCTAGGGGTAGGGTATAATATTTTATTGGCCTAAAGAGATTAAATACGTATATAAATTAAGCAGGACCCTATGGTCTGGGCAAAATAATTGATATTAGAACCGGTTTAAACCATAGCTGGTTTGGCTCAGTGGATAGAGCGTCAGCCTGCGGACTAAAGGGTCCCGGGTTTGATTCTGGTCAAGGGCACATGCCCAGGTTGCGGGCTCGGTCCCCAGTGCGGAGTGTGTGGGAGGCAGCCGATCAATGATTCTCACTCATCATTGATGTTTCTATCTCTCCCTCCCTTCCTCTCTGAAATCAATAAAAATATATTAAAAAACTGGTTTAAGTTTGATTGACATATTTTAGAGTGATTACCATAAAATATGTGTTTTACCTGGATTTACAATAAGTTTATGTTACGATCTTTTGATTAAGTTTGTTTGACAACCTTCCCAAAGTTTAAATTTTAAGAGACTTTTTTTTTTTTAACCAAGAAATTGAAACCAGTTCATTGGTCCTCACCATGTTGACTGAGGGAATAATAATGTAACTGGACAATCAATGGGTCTGGGCTGCCTGTGTTGTAATGTACCCCGCGAATCACACAAGGACGCCTCAAGAAGTCGAATTAAAGAGTCACATTTATTGCAATCCGGGACTACGAGGGGGCCTTTCGCTCTCCCAAATCTCGCAGTGCCCTCCCCAGCCCCAACACCAGATTTATACAGGCAAAGAGCACAGAGGTATTGATTACATCCCAGGGTTTGAATGAGGACCCTGGTTTGCACAAAGCAGTTACAGAAGCGAGATTGAGCCAATTAGTTATCTACAAAGATTAATTATAGCTTTGGGTCTTCGGACCACTGAGTTGACAGGGACACATTATCTGGAACCCTCGGGTCTTGGGATAATTGTGTTGTCCTGGTTCCCAGGTACAGAGGAATGTGCTTTCTAAAACCAGTAAGATCACAATCAATGGGATATTCACATTACAATCAATAAGGCATTCAATCTAATGGGATGATTTATGTAATTCAGAAAATCAAAATAACTTTTCTATTGTTAAGCCGAACAGCAGGGTTAGAGTTAAACTACAGTTTCTACCTGAGATGATTGCTACCATACTTCACCTGTCACAAAGATTACTTGGGGAAGTAGGCAAAAAAGGATAAGAATGGGTATGCAAAATGGACAGTTTACAGGCAATGCGGGCTGCGGGTCTGCAAATGCCTGGGAGTATGTAAAAGGCTGGTGCCTCAGGTTTCTGCAACAAGGTTGTTAATCTTTCCATGACAATAGGCAGCTCCCGGGTGTAGAGGATGTAGAGCTCCCAGGTCCCTGTTGAGCTTCCAGGTCCCAAGCGCCACTCCCAGCCTGGTTAGAATGTGCAGAACAAAACAATCATGGTTAACAGAGCATGATTAATGCTTCTTACAGTTATAGCTGGTCCCCAATATTCTATTTCTGCCCCTAACAAAGTGACTTTGAGTTATTCCAATAGACCCCTGGAACGACTCAAGGATTTGTTCTCTCTCCTTATAAAAGAAGTTTTTGAACTAATTAGGCCTATTTTGATATGCTTGAAATTGGAAGTATTTGGAAAGTCTACATGGGAAGATTTGCCAAATAAAATAATAGCTATGTTCTATTTGAATACATACATTTTAATTAAACTGTTCCATTATATACATATATTTTTATTCAAATGGATGTTCTAGAAATTTCAGCCTGCCTTAGTAAGGAACTTGCAAAGATTCAGAGCCAAGTTCAAACAGGGAGCTCTCAGGGGTAGAGGTGTCCTGTCAGTGCACTGGGTAAGCTGCTTCAGAAGTGAGATCTTAGAATATACCCCCTTACTCTAATTTGAATTAAGTATAATAAACAAAGGGGCTTCAGATACCATCATCCAGGGAAGCCCCTGGGGACTCTGTAAAGTTGGCCCCTCCTTCTATCACCTGGTTCTTACCTCTCCTCAGACCTGTAGTTACTATAATTTTCCTCCTCATTTTTAGGCCATGCCTTTTTAACCTCCTTGTCAAAACCTTCTAGCCAAATTTGTCACCTCTAGGATACAACAATTCCATATCAAGATGATGATGCTTCCGGGACTCTGGCCCATCCCTACTTTGGAAGAATCAGCTGACAGCCTCTGAGTTCCAGTCTCAAAGCCCATCCCCTTGTCTCCCTTACATCAGGCAGGGAGAGACACCTGTAGCCTACGTAGGCAGTGACTACGGCCTTTGTCAGCAGGAAGCAGTTACTAGAGACAAAACCTCCTTTCCCATCACCCCTAAAAGATTTCAGGGATGGGCGTTTCTGAGGGTGGAATGAGACAGGATAGTAAGAAGCTAGGAAAATTCTTTGGCAAGTTGAATGGGGAAACTGAGACGGATAGCTGAACAAACAGGCCGAGCAATTTACAGCCACATACAGGTCACCGCCCTAGAGATCACAGGTAGGCCTCAGCTGTATTTCAGCTCCAGGCCCAGAAAAGCAGCAAAACCAGGTGAGCAATGCCAGGACCTCGGCCCTGTTGCTGACTGATCAGTAGAGACCATGACCTTGAAAGGGCACACCTGGAAAACTGATGAACAATCTGCTGAACCCCTCTCCTGAGACCTCCCCTAAGATTCAGGCTTGCGAGAGAGAAAAATCCCTCAAGACAAAGGGCCCAACCCCCCTGCCTTTCCCTCCTCCCTCTTTTTCCCCCCACAGGCCTGTGCGCCCTAAACTCTAATGGTCCCCAGGAGACTTGCAACCAGGAAGCCAAGGGCAGCAGCAGCAGCTGGTCTGGGGCTCACCCCCTGACCCTGTCTCCAAGTCCCCCTTTTCTCTGACTTCCCAGTCAGCTAAAGCAGCCCCGCCCCGCTCACTTCTCTCCTAGAACCTTCTCAGAGAACCGAAGCAGCTCAGCCTAAGGCTCTCCGGTTGCCTCATCTATGCTAAGCCTGTCCTTGCTGCCCTCATCATCACCTGACCGTGTGTTGTTAAATCTTTCCTGCAGGAAGCCAAGAGCCCGCACAGTACTGGCTGGCCCTAGGCAGCCCCGCTCCGGCCAGGCCCCCGGTCCGGGGACAGGCAGGGCAGGTGTCTGGTAGCATGACCACCCTCACCAGGACCTGGGTGGCGTTTCTGCTCATTTCTGCCTTCATTCACTCCCTCTGCCCTCTGCCTGGAGAGCCACGGGCTGCACACCCATCTCGGACGGCTGCACTCTCACAAACCTCGCCCTGCTTCTGGGCGCCCAGGCGGAGTGCGCCTGTTCGCAGGGAATCGCTCTGTGCTGAGCAGAGCGCAGTCCGCTCCCTGAGCAGCCCGAGGCAACCACACAAACAGTGTCCGGCTTCCTGTCCTCATCCCCGCCCTCCCGCCTGGTTTCCCTTGCCCCTCCCTCTCCCCAGCCCGATCCTCCCGCCGGCTCCCCCTCCCCCGATCCCTCGGGTCCCGGGATGGGGGGGCGGTGAGGCAGGAACAGCCCCCGCCCCCATGGCTGCCCGTCGGAGCCTGAGGCAGAGGGGGCGCACGGGGGAGCCGGGCACCGCCCTGCTGGCCCCACTCATGCTGGGCCTGGGCCTGGCGCTGGCCTGCCTTGGCCTCCTGCTGGCCGTGGTCAGCCTGGGGGGCCGGGCATCGTCATCTGCTCAGGTGAGGCCCCGCTGCACACCCCTCCCGGGGCGATGAGGAGCAAAATCTACAGAGCAGTTTATGAGGCTGCGTGGGCTGAGGACAAGGGGCCAGGGAGATGGGTGGAGGGCGAGCTGTCAGGTGGAGGAGGACAGGGTGACCCTACCTCCTTCCCAGCAGGAGCCTGCCCAGGGGGAGCTGGTAGCAGAAGAGGACCAGGACCCTCTGGTGAGTGGCTGTGGGTGCTGATGGCAGGCTGCTGGGCATGGGAAGTGTGTGTGAGCTGAGGGTGCAGGGAGTGCCCTGGCTGTGTCGCCGTTCGTAGGTCTATGGGCAAGAGAGGGTGACAGCTGTGTGGTGCTGGGTTTGTGTCAGCGGAGTGAACGTGCTATTGGCTGACGGTGAAGTGGGAGTGTGAGATACGGTGGAGGAGGGATGCTGGTTGTCTGTGTAGGGTGCTTACCCACCGTGTATTCTGACTGAGTGTGGGCATGTGTGCAATGGGCCAATCGCTTGCAGGGTCTGCACTTGGTTGTGGGGTTGGGGAAGTGTGGCTGGTCTCTGAGAGGCGTGAGGGCTGAGACCTGACCCCAGAAACTTGCCTTCCCTTGGCCTCAGCCACTGTTGGCTGAGAGCTCCGTCCCCTCCCTAAGACTCCTGTGCCCGTCTGTGCCTCTCCAAACGGCCTCTGTCGATCTCAGTTTCTGTCTCTGGGAATCCCTGGCAAGGCTCTGAGTCAGCCCTGCCTTCACTTCCCCCAGGAACTGAATTCCCAGTCGGAGGAGGGCCAGGACCCTGTGCCTTTCCTGAATCAGCTGGTTCGGCCTCGCCGAAGTGGTGAGCATCTCTTTATCCCAACCTTAGTGGCTTCTGAATTCATTATTGCTTTTGTTCGTCATAACAGCCGTATGAGTGGGCAGAGCAAAAACCATTATCCTCTTTATGAATGGAGAAACGGAGACACGGAGAATGAAGGGGGAGGAGGAGACAAAGTGGGGAAGTCAGAAGCCTAGGCCCCAGCAAGCAAAAACTTATGAATGGGATAACCATGTGACCGTATATCCAGGTTTGCGGGGGACTGTCCTGGCTTACACCTGTTATCTCAGTGTGATTAATAATAGCACCCTTTCTGCTCTCAGAAGCATCCAATTTGGACGATAAATTATATAGTCGCTCTACTTATGTAGGAAGATAAGGCATGAGGTTCTGAGGCCAGAAATCTGGACAAAAATGAGGATGCCAGGGTTCTTAGAAGGGACTGGGGCTGGGGGAGTCGCTCCCGGCCCCCAGATATGTGGGGGCTGCTTTGCCCATCTGTCTTTCCTTGATTCTCAGCATCTAAAGGCCGGAAAACACGGGCTCGCAGAGTGGTTGCAGCCCACTATGAAGGTGGGTGACGGGTGAGCCGTGCCCGGGGAGGAGGGGTGAGAGGGGCAGGGCAGGTCGCACCAACCCTTCCTGTGTTTTACAGTTCACCCACAGCCTGGACAGGATGGAGCACAAGCAGGTAAGACGCTATCTCCACCTCTGTGCTTTTCCCTGACCCCCGCAGCGCTGGCCTCCTGGAAAAGGGACCCCTCAAAACTTTGACCACCCCCATCCCTGCCTTCAGCCTCAGAACCCCAGAAGCCAGTTCGGGAAAGTCCTCAGGGTTCGGTTCTCTCAGCTCCCAGACTTGGACTTTCTCTGGGATCCAGGCACGGGACCCCAGGAAGACTCCTTCCGCTCCCAGAACCCAGGCAGATTCTCCCACCAAACCACCAGCCCACCTTCTCACTCTTCTTCACCTTTGATTTTTTCCTGTCCTTCCCCTCCATATCTTCATGCGCGGATCATTTTTCTCAAAATGCTTCTAGTTTCTGTTCTTCTTTTCTCTTTTGGTTGCTTTCAGAGAGGAAGGGAGAGGAAGAGAGAAATAGAAACATCAGTGATGAGAGAGAATCATTGATTGGCTGCCTCCTGCAAGCCCCACACTGGGGATCGAGCCTGCAACCCAGGCATGTGTCCTGACTGGGAATCAAACTGTGACCTGGATCATAGTCATCACTCAACCAGTGAGCCACACTGGCCGGGCACTGTTCTTTTTTTCCAGCCCTACCATACCCCCTACCTCAGTACCTTGAGATTGGAATCTCAAACCCAGTCTACATCTTTCCCCATTCCAAACTCTCCTACCCCCTACTCTGTCCCACCTGTGTTGCCAAGCTAAGCGCACCCCCCCCCCCCATCTTCATTATTCCATTGTTCTCTGCCTGGCTTCCAGGCTTTCATGGTCTCAACTCCTTTCCCTGCACATCCTTATGAATTCTCCACACATGTTGGGCTGACTCCCCTTCCCCACCAATGTTCCTCTTCTGGACTTTGCGCATATTGTTCCCTGACTTGGAATGCCCTTCCATGTGACAGGCCAGGAGGCAAGACATAAGGGTAGTTGGTCTAGAGAGGTTGGCAGCTGAGGTGGAGAGCAGTAAGCATGTGGCTTGAAGATATGGCTTGCTTGTTGGTTGGCTGTGTAGGACAGGGGAAAGGGAGGAATCGGAAATGACTTCTAGATTTTTAAGTTGGGCATCTTTGGGAAGAATGATGCCATTTGCTAACATGGGGATAACCAGGGAAGAAATAGGTTGGGAGGCATGCATATTAATAATTAAATTTGAAATCTAATACTAAACAAGCAGATAGATAATAATAAAAAGTGAGTTCCACAAATAGATGGCTGGACGTAGTAGACAAACGCGGGCTAGGCCAGGGCTAATAACGCCAGGAGTCATTGCCATGTGAATGGTATTTAAAGCTATAGGACTGGATGAGACACCAGTGGAAAAGAGAGCCCCATGAGTGAGGCCCTTGGACACGGAGAAGTGGAGCAAAGGGGGAGAACCAGCAGCCAGAGAGAGGAAGAAAGCCCGGGCGGGTAGTGTCATGGAACCTGAGATAAGACACAGTTTCGCCCTGGCCAGTTTGGGTCAGTGGATAGAGCGTTGGCCTGTGGACCGAAGAGTCCTGGGTTCGATTCTGGTCAAGGGCACGTACCTCGGTTGCAGGCTCCTCCCTGACCCAGGCCCTGGTCGGGGTGCATCCAGGAGGCAACCAGTTGATGTGTTTCTCTCACATTAATGTTTCTGTCTTTCCCTCTCTCTTCCACACTCTCTCTAAAAATCAATGAAAAAAAATATCCTCGGGTGAGGATTAAAAAATAATAGTAATGAAAAAAAATGCTCTTCAAACTTAAAAAAAAAGACACTGTCTCAAGAAGGATGTGGCTGTCTGTGTTGAAGGCAGCTGAGAGGTCACATGAGATGAGAACAGAGAAATGACTGTGGGTTTGCTGATATAAAAAGTCAGCTGGTGACCTTGACCAGGGCAGTTCTGTGGCATAGTTAGGATGGAAGCCAGCATGTATTGGGTTAAGAAAAAATCTGAAGTAGGGATTGGAGACAGTGACAACCCTTTCCAGAAGTTTCTCTGTAACAGGAGCAGAGAAATGGGCCAGTAGGTGGAGGGGGATGTGGCTGAAGGAAAAGTCCCTTCCTTTCAGTGATAAGGAATACTACATGACTCTTAGTTACAGATAGTCTGATCATTTTATAGATGGAGGCCACTTAACTTGTCTGAGGCCATGACGATACGAAGTGGTGGAGCTGGGATTTGGGCCCAGCCAGAGTGTGCTTGTGTGCTGGACATGGTGCATGTGAGCAAGGAAGGCTGGAAACGGAGTCACTCGGAAAGAAGAGGCTGAGACGACTCTCTGTGAGATGTGGCCGGGGCCAGACTGGAAGGGAGATGGGACAGAGCTATTTAAGTGGCAGAGTTGCCAGCAACTGGTGGTGATGGGGGAATAAAGTTGGTGAAGGAGAGGGAGACATGTACCTGGTTGGGAGGTAGAACCATGAGCCAAACGTGGAATAAAGACAGTAGAGCAGCCGAAACCGGTTTGGCTCAGTGGATAGAGCGTCGGCCTGTGGACTGAAAGGTCCCAGGTTCGATTCCGGTCAAGGGCATGTACCTGGGTTGCAGGCATATCCCCAGTGGGGGATGTGCAGGAGGCAGCTGATCGATGTTTCTCTCTCACCGATGTTTCTAGCTCTCTATCTCTCTCCCTTCCTCTCTGTAAAAAATCAATAAAATATATTTTTTTAAAAAAAAAAAGACAGTAGAGCAAGTTTGGAGTTGGGGTGCCCAGCCAGTGTGGCTCAGGGGTTGAGTGTCAACTCAGGAACCAGGAACTCAGGTTCAGTTCGATTCCGATCAGGGCACATGCCTGGGCTGTGGGCTCGATCCCCAGTAGCGGGCGTGCAGGAGGCAGCCTACCAATGATTCTCTCTCATCATTGATGTTTCTATCTCTCTCTCCGTCTCCCTTCCTCTCTGAAATCAATAAAAACATTTTTTACAACCCAGGCATGTGCCCTTAACCAGAATTGAACCCCGGACCCTTCAGTCCTCAGGCCGACGCTCTATCCACTAAGCCAAACCAGCATGGGCAATACAAACATTTTTTTTTTTTTTAAAGTTTGGGGTGGCAGGCCAAGCTCAGTTTGGTTAAGATGAGTTTGGGGTGCCTGGGGCAGGATGAGAAGGGGCAGGGCTGGAGACCCAGATCCAAGTCTGTACAATAAAGGCCACAGTAACCCATAGGTGAGGATGAAAATGCCCAGAGAGCATTACATTTTCCTTGAGACAGTAATAAGGATGGGGCGCTGGAGCTAGCAGAGGATGAGGGGTTGAGGAAGGCAGCTGCTGAGGCTGCAGAGATCAGCCATTGCGGTCCAGGAGACTGGCCTGTGGACTCAAACAAAGAGCTGTCGTCCATGTTTATCTCCTTCCCTCTATCTTCCCACCAGTGTTTGCTGGGCGCCCCCTCAGAGCAGGCCAAGGTCCTGGTGCAAGGACACAGTGGTGAATAGGACCGTTGTCCCTGCTCTTTTAGGGAAGTCGGACTCCAAACTGTCACATATATAAATAAACCAGATGAGCCCTAACCGTAGGCTCAGTGGAAAGAGCGTGGGCCCTCGGACTGAAGGGTCCGGGGTTCGATTCCGGTCAAGGGCATGTGCTTTGGTTGTGGGCTAGATCCCCAGTAGGAGGCGTGTAGGAGGCAGCCGATCAATGACTCTCATCGATGTTTCTATCGCTCTATCCCTCTCCCTTCCTCTCTCTAAAAAACAAATAAAAATTAAAATAAGCCAGATGATTTCCCATGTTGGCAACTGCTATGAAAGAAACAGGGTGAGGTGGTGAAGAGATTAACGGAGGCAGGGCCGAGTCTGGCTGTTTTAACCTGGGTGCCCTGGGGAGGCCTCTCAGATGGGTTGAGACCTGACTGGCAGAAGATGCGGGCAGCCCGGGCAGGGTTCTGAGAAGAGGGAAGGACAGCACAAAGCCCTGCAGCGACAAGGAACTTGGTTCTCAGCAGGAACAGAAAGAAGGCAGAGTGGGTGGAGTCTTGTGAATGGGCGGTGCGTGTGAGATTAGATTGGAGAGGGAGGTGGTGGGGCTGTGGAGAGCCTGGGAAGCCACTTGAGGTCCTGTTCTATCACTTTATTATTTATCTTCTTTGCAATTTTCTATTATCCTAGCTCTAGATTTAAAAAAAAAAGTTTTTGTTAATCCTCACTCAAGGATATTTTTTCCATTGCTTTTCAGAGAGAGTGGAAGGGAGGGTGGGAGGGGAAGAAGAAGGGAGAAAGAGAGAGAGAGAGAGAGAGAGAGAGAGAGAGATCCCCTTGAGAGAGACACATCAACTGGTTGCTTCCTGCACCTGCCTGACCAGGGCGGGGAGTGAACCTGCAACCCAGGTATGTGCCCTTGACCAGGAATCGAACCCTGGGCTGTGCACCGACTGATGCTCTAACCACTGATCCACACCAGTCAGGGCTAGATTTTTTTTTTTTTGTAATGGCTTTATTGAGATAAAGGTGTTCTCACATACCATACCATTCACCCATTTAAAGTATATAATGAAATGGTTTTGAGTATATTTACACAGCTGTGCAACCATCACTACAGTAATTTTAGAACATTTTCATTTCCTCAAAAAGAAAACCTGTACCTTTTAGCCATGATCCCCTATTTCTCTGATCCCACAGGCTGCCAGTGCTAAGCAAACACTAATCTACTTTCTGTCTCTCCATATTTGTATATTTGGACATTTCATAGAAATCATATACTATGTTGTTCTTTATGACGGAAAGCATTTAGCATAATGTTTTCATAGTTCGTAGCATTTCTTTTTAAGGCTGAATAATATCCCATTGTATGGATATATACAGTTTTCCTTATCGATGCATCCGTTGATGAATATTTGGGTACCATTTTTTTTTAAATTTTAATAATCCAAGTAATGTGTGATTCAAGTAATGTATGTGTATACATCCTCAAAGTAACAGAGGTGAACACTATAGACTCCAAACATAAAGGCCCCCACGCTTCTCCCTCAGCCCTGCTCTTCTCCCCACAAGTGGCTGGTGACACCCTGCTGTGTATGGTTCTGGTTACCTAGGTCAGGTTTCCTCACGTAACTTCCCATGGCACGATGGGCCCCCGAGGCCATGGGTCCTCCCTTGTCCTGGGCCATCTGTGGATCTTCTGGGTCAGGTGGGCCCTCAGGGTTCACCAGCTCCGAGGGTGCCTGGGGACCGTGCGAGTCCTGTGCGGGGACCTGCCCCTCTCTTTGAACGTCTGCGTTCAGGTGTGGACGGGACGGTGAGTGGCTGGGAGGAGGCCAAGATCAACAGCTCCAACCCGCTGCGCTATGACGGCCGGAGCGGGGCATTCACAGTCACCCGGGCTGGGCTCTACTACCTGTACTGCCAGGTAAGCCCCACCTGGCTCCGCGGGTGAAGCAGGAACTGAGGACGAAGGGTTGGGTTGGAGGGGGGGGGCAAGCTAAAGGCGGGGTGGGGCAGTTTGGGGGGTGGGGGGGGGGGACATTTGGGTCTCTAAGGAAATGTGAAATGGAGATGAGGGCAAGCGAGGCCTGGACTCTGCCACCCCCTCCCCGCCCCCAGGTGCACTTTGACGAGGGAAAGGCTGTCTACCTGAAGCTGGACCTGCTCGTGGACGACACGCTGGCCCTGCGATGCCTGGAAGAGTTCTCTGCCACTGCGAGTTCCCACGGGTCTCAGCTCCGTCTCTGCCAGGTGTCTGGGCTGTTGCCCCTGCGGCCTGGGTCCTCCCTACGGATCCGAACCCTCCCCTGGGCCCATCTCAAGGCTGCCCCTTTCCTTACCTACTTTGGACTCTTCCAAGTTCACTGAGGGGCCCTGGTCTCGCAGTGGTTTTCCCAGGCTGCTGGCTCCCCACAACAACTCTCTGAGCACCCCAGTCCCCTTGGCCCCACCCCAAGCTGCTCCTCCCCTCAGACTTGCCTCTCCCTGGGTACGTTGCCAGGGCTTGTTCACGTGTTTTCCATGCAACATAAATATTCCCATTCGTCTCTGAAGAGCCCTCCCCCCCCCACCTCTGGTTCTCCACCTCGCTAGCTCCCAAACCCCTGATCTTCGACACCCCCATTTATCTCCTGGCTCCCCACCCTGGCTGCCACCCCCCGGTACACTGTTTACTATACTCTGGGTGAGGATGGGTCCCCATACCCCTCTCAGGCACTAGGAGAAGCTGGATACCAGAGAGACTGGGACGAGGCCAAGAGTCTCCGATGTGAGGGCTAAGGGACCAAGACAAGTTCCTCCCCTGAAAGTTCCCTGTGGATTTTTAAAACAGATTATTTTTATTATTATTGTGACAAAATGTTGATAAGTAGAAATTAAAGAGAATAAGTCACGGTTGCTCTCTTTATTGGGTGTGTGGGGGGCCTCCTCAGGGGAACTGCAAGCCCTGAGAAGGGGGTCTGGGGAGTGGGGTGCAGGACACCTGGGACTCCAGGTCCGCACGCAGACTTGCCAGTGGGGACCCACAGGCCTCTGGCCCCCGAGGTGTGAGCAGAGCGTGGAAGGGCAAAGTGCCAGGAAACAGAATCAATCCTCTGCCCAAGGTCCAGCAGAAGTGGCCTCATTTACCTAGGAGGCGGGCTTCCTCCCGCGGGGAATCCCTGGCGGGCGGAACAGGGGCCCTTCCTCTTGGCAGCCTCGGGGCATGGGCAGGTGCTGGCACAGGGCCCCGGCTCGATGTGGGGTGGGAGCGGGCCTCAAGGAGGCTTCAGGGTCGGTCAGCAGGACACTGGGGCCCAGGAACATGGGAACCTCGGCCCCAGGACCCCGGGGAGGAACCCTACCATGGTGGGGTGCTTGGGGCCGTCTCTTCTCGCTTCACCCAGAGCCTTATGTAAGAGCTTTTCTCGGGAAACAGGAAGTCGTGTTTGCCAAGTTCAGCACAGAGTCGTGCCGGCCTTATTCCAGCACACCCGGCCTGGCCTTAACCCCAGAGCCCGGCCGGTTTCTTGCTTCAGAGACCCTGGATCTCCGCGCTGGCCCTCCCCTCCCTTCTTGCCTTCAGTCAGTCCTAGCAAACTCCCCCAGAGATCGCTCCTCAGCCTGAGCCAGGGGGTCTTCCGCCCTCATCCCTTGACCCTCCACACTGCCCAGCTTGTCCCTTCATCCCTGCTCCTGGCACCATGCCCCACCGCCAGCCAACCTTCCCTCCCCCACTGCTGGGGCCGCCCCAGGTTCCTGTGCTTTGGCCGCTCCTCCTGGGCGCCTCCTGGGTGCCACCGCAGCCCTGTGCTTCCTCGAGGGACGGGCACCACATTCTCCGGAGGCTGCAGGGTGGGGGTCTCAGCAACACTGGCCCCACAGCAGCGTGCCAGGAGCACCCAGTGCCCTAGCTTGCTTTCCTCCTCCCTCCTTTTTATTCTCAAGTTCCTTTTTATTTCTCCCTTGCGTAACGCCCTTCTCCCTTCTGCACCACTGCCTGCACCTCCTTGCCACCCACTCCTGAAGCCACCGCTGTTGGCAGGGTCCCCAGCTCATGCCAGCCTCATCTCCTTCCTTTCTAGCCCCCAAAGGGCCCCCGGGAGACATGGGGGGCCGGGGCCGAGAGCCGGCACTCTCAGTTGCCCTCTGGTTGAGTTGGGGGGCGGCTTTGGGGGCTGTGGCTTGTGCCATGGCTCTGCTGATCCAACAAACAGAGCTGCAAATCCTACGAAGAGAGGTGACCCAGCTGCAGAGGACTGGAGGGCCCTCAGGAAAGGGGGAAGGGTCCCCATGGCTGAGCCTCCAGGAGCAGGTGAGTGAGGGGAGGAGGGTGGCGGGCGAGAGGGCTGGGTGGCAGGGTCGTCTCTGGCACTCTGGGTTCCAGCCTCCGGGTCTGCAGTGTCTCCAGTGGGTACATGAGAGGGTCCCGGGTTTGGAGGTCAAGAGAGCAGCCATTCCAGTAAAGGAGACTGTTAAAGATTAATGCTTCTTGTACCTACCAGATCCTGGAGGACAGCCAGCACCAAGCCTCAGGCTGCTGGGGAAAGGTGCCCGAGAGATGTGGGCACTCCTGGGCAGGGGAGGGCTGGGGAGGAAGGCTGTCTGGGGCCCTTGCATCTTGGCCTAACCCTCACCCTCTTTCCACGAGCAGAGCCCTGACAGCCCGGGAGCCCTGGAGACCGGGGAGAGGGCCCGGAGAAAGAGAGCAGTGCTCGCCCATAAGCAGAAGAGTGAGGCCTTCGGGGTGCCGCGGGGTGGGAGGTGATTGAGCGGCATGAAGACTCGGAGGTGGTCACCCCAAGTCGGGGTGAGGGTGGAGGGCCGACAGCAGGGCAAGTGGGGTAGGTGGGCATTGCTGAGATCTCCTCCTCCTTTCCTCAGGGAAGCACTCGGTTCTGCACCTTGTTCCCCTTAACATGACCTCCAAGGGTGAGCACTATTTTAAATGGCTTTTGGGGAGAGGCGAGACCTGGGAACTCTGGGGCTGGTACCCGGCCTGAGAGAATCGTAGAGGTGAACAGTAAGGGTGCGCAGAAACCCTGACTGCCGCTCCCCTCACCTCCAGCGGACTCTGATGTGACCGAGTTGATGTGGCAGCCGGCTCTCACGCGCGGGAGAGGTCTGGAGGCCCAAGGATACGTTGTTCGAGTCTGGGATGCTGGAGTGTATCTGCTCTATAGCCAGGTAACCCCAAACGAACGTTGAGCCCCACATGGGGGCCTGGAAGCCTGTTCTTCAGGGGCCTGATGCTCCAATACCGAAGGCTCTCAACCCTCTTCACACCAAACTTAGGAGACCCTCCTTCATTCCTTGGCAGGGCCCTGAGGCCTCTCGGAACTGAGCCATCCCACCCCGCTTTCCTCAGCGTCTCCCCCCTTCCCTGCCAGGTCCTGTTTCATGATGTGACTTTCACCATGGGTCAAGTGGTGTCTCGGGAGGGCCAGGGAAAGCAGGAGACCCTATTCCGCTGTATACGAAGCATGCCCTCCAACCCAGACTGGGCCTACAATAGCTGCTACAGCGCAGGTAACAGCTCTGTGGGCAGTGGGGACAGGGAGCTGAGAAGAGCAGGGCAGATCTGCCTGGGGGTAGTGGTGGGAGGGCGATGACAGGGGGTTGTGTATGTAGAGGTGGACCTAAGCAATGAAGGAGAGAACACCGACATCCTCACAGGAAGTAGAAAAAGGTTGAGCTGGGGGAGGGCAACACGTCAGAGCCTCTGCACAGCTGTCCTCACTGAGCACCCGCTTCCTCTCTGTTCTCAGGTGTCTTCCATTTACACCACGGGGACATTCTGAGCGTCACAGTCCCGCGCGCAAGGGCCAAGCTTAGCCTCTCTCCACACGGAACCTTCCTGGGGTTCGTGAAACTGTGATTGTTAGAGAAGGTGGTCCTGGGCTAGGAGGACCAGCGCGGGTCGGGTACAGCTGGGAGAAGCCAGAAGCTGACTAGACAAAGGACAGGGAACGCGAAGGAACAGAGGTTTCTTCTGGGTTTAACTGGAACCCTCAGTTGGACAACTCATGACTCTCTGTTCCTCCCTTTTCCCTTTCCACTCCAACCCCTAGACTGTGATTTCAGGAATATAAAGGAGGGAGAATATCTTGCTTTTGTCTCTGATCTAGCCCCGGATTCTTGGGGCTGTGGAGGGCGAGAATGCCAGGCATTGTCTCCCTGCTCCGGGCCCTGGAATGCTTCCAGGACGGCACCGCCACCTAGCGGCGGCCCGGGAGAACCGCCTGCCGGCGGGAGTGCACAAAGCCGCCCCGCGCGAGGAAACTCCCGGCTCCCGCGCCGCACCTTCCTCGAGGCGTCCATCCTGTCTCTTCGCCGCACCCTCACTTCCCTCCATCCACTGCGCCTTGGCTTCCATCACGAGAGGACTATTTATTACGGGACTCGGCAGGGGATGCCCCACGACGACGACGGTCCCCGTGCAGCCACGTTCCTCTTTGCGTCCCAGGTTTTGCCTTTCATGCTCGGCATCCCCCGGCGGGGCAGGCCGCTCCAAGCCCCTCTGGGCTGAGACGGGTCGCCGGGGAGCCTTGGATGAATCCATCGCACGTCTTGATGCCTGTCTTGCCTCACGCCTGAGCTCTTTGTTCCACTCAAAGTTAATAAAAGAGAATAAGTGATACCTCGGACCCATTCCCCCACCGCCTTCCCTCAGCCCCGACTCGGGACCTCCTGCCTCCAGCACTCCCCTGGCGCCCCCACGACACGAAAGGGCTCGGCCCGCGCACTCCAGGTTGAAAGGACCGTGCCCGGCGGCGGTCGGGGCGCGCAGGCGCAACAGGGAGCGGTGGGGCGCGCGCAGCCTGGTCAGCGGGCGCGCGGAGGCGTGGGCTCGGGGGCGGACCCGGCCCGTGGCGGCTACGTCCGTGGGGGGCGGGGCTAGGCGCGCGAGGGCCGCGCCGGCGCTGTTCGCCGTGTGACGTAGTAATCGTGCGCCGCCACCGCCGGTGGGCCTGGGGCTCGCGGGAGGGGAAACAGGCGGAGGAGGGGGAGGCGGTGGAGGTGGAAGCTGAAGCAGAGCGAGAGGCGGCCGCGGCGGGGCGGCGCGCGGCCCAGAGCCGTTGGGAGCCTGAATTGAGGCGGCGGCGCCTGAGGACAGCAGGAGTGGCGGGGCCGCCGCCGTCACCGGAGAGATGAGCCGGGAAGCCTGAGGCCGGAGACGCCCGCCCTCGGGCCCGTCAGTCCGGCTTCACAGCTCCCGGTGAGGACGCCCCTGCCCTTCCCCCTCAGCCCTGCCCGGCCCTTCCTGGACCTCACTCCCACCTCACCCGGGCTCAGGGGGCCCTGGAAGGGGTTTCTCCAGGCCCCCGCGCTCCGGGAGTCCGAGCCTGTAGGACGGTGCCGCTGCTGGGACGCGTTCTGGTCCCCGGGGACCGCGGAGGGGGGGCTGGGCCAGCCTGGCAGGCACGGCTCCGTTTTTCCCCGGCGCCCGGATTCAGGTGCTTCGGCAGCCCCTGGCTCTCCTTCGGCTGCCTGTGCCATGCTTCCCTTGGCATCAGATCTACCACCTGCACCACAGCTCCGGCCTCCCGTTCCCTCCCGAGGCGGTCTGAGCATGCTCCCGCTCCCCCACTTCTTCCCTCTCTAGACCACCGTTTCCTTTTGCAAGTTGCGTTCTCATGTACCATGTCAGTGTTCCCCGGCTGAGCCATATCCTTCAATACCACTCCTGGTGGTATTAAAACAGCGAAATAGAGCCTGAAAATTTTGGGTTTGACCAAATAAGATCCCTAAGGCCTTCTGCTTTAGCCATTCTCCTTTGCCTCTGTCTGGGTAGGGGAGAGATGATGGCACAGTTGGTAGAGGGTCCCTTGTGGACCATGTTAACCAGGAAGATCTGAAGTTAGTTTTGTCCCCCCACCCCACCCCACCCCCCCCCGCCCACTTCCCGTTTTGC